AGTTTTCACATCCAAAACCAAGACAAAGCAAAAGAAAATCCCCAGATTTTGGAGCTCTAAAACTGTCCTTGAAGATATGTTTTCCCCAGCTTCACAAGTAATAACGAGTAACGCTTTCATATGTGTATCCTAAACCAACACTACTGAAACATTCATCAAAAGGATAGCACGGCAGGGCTTTTCAGCCCACCAGGCTATTACCCTTGGCTATGTACTCAGATTACAGATGTCTACTACAGCACACAGAGTCCATTTGAGTATCATTCAGTTTAAAGAGAATGATGATGGGGGAGAATCCAACAAGAGGAAAAGAAGAGGGCAGTACATTAATGAACTCTCCTAAATCAGCGTGTGTAACCATCTAGACTCTTCAAAGAGACAGCAATCAGCACCCAGAAAAATAACTCATTGCAAAAGAGATGTCTCCTTTTCAGCTATGGTTATTGCTCTGCCTGCATGGGCATTGTATACAGTGTACTTAGAGATAACTTCTGACACAATTTTTCTTTTCTGTTAAAGAAACTGTATTTTAGTCAATGGAATAGATTTATTCATTTCCTTGCTTAAATAGGAAATTGTCTTAACCAAGATTTCCCTGTCAGCTCAGAAGTAAAGTAATGAACAATTTTTTTTGTGTGTTTTTCCTTGTAATAGCTGTCAGAAAACCCTCAATTTCACTATCTGGAATACATTTTCTTGCATTACTTCATTTTTTTTTTAATTGCATTTGTTCTATTTTGCAGCAGTGAGCTGAGTTTAGTTTTAATTTTAAACAACAAATCCTAGCCCATTCCCAAATATGTATGAGTATGGTAAATGTAGGAACTGTTTTCCATCCTTCACTTAGAGCAGAAAAAAAAATAAATCATGCTGCAACAAGAATTTCAGTAATTAAATGGTACAAGTGATTTTCACAAATATACTCCTCTTGTGAGACCTTTTGCTGCAGATTAACTTTTACATCCACTTCAGAAAAAAGAAAAAAAAAACTAACAAGAAGCTCAATAACCTCTCTCCCCATTCCACTAAGCTTCTCCTGCAATCAAACTCCTTATTTTTCTGCACCCAGTCACTGTGGGAAAAGGGACAAGTTGGAAAGAAGTAAGATAAAACATGGTAGAGTGTTGGTTCTTATTTTCTGTTTGTGTCCTTGAAGAAGGTTTTGGCACGTCCCTGCAGTTTCTGATGCAGATTACTGATTTGTAATGGGACTTTGCAGTAAGATACTCATTTTCCATGTGGTTAAAATTGCTTCCTGATATTTCTCAAAAGAGCACAATGGGGATTAGAAATTGCTGCAGCATCTCAATTGCGGAGATGTGCTGGTGAAGTGTAATTGTACTGAAGCCATGCACGCGCTCTGCCTGAAAGCCAGATTCTGCCTGTTGCATGAAAAAGACATCCATATGCCTGATCCCTGTGTGCATTGGAGCCTCTCCTTCCCTCTGCCTATGGCACAGTCCTGGCTGCAGGACACTGGGTCCAGTGAATCAGAGGACAACCAACATCCCTTACGGACCATGTGCTCAAGGCAATGTATATCTGCTCCCACAGCACACACAGAGCCCACACCAGAGATAAAATTCAGCTTTATCATGGACAGTCTAATAGTCTCTGCTTATCTTATGGTCTGATCTGCCAGAGGGAGGTGGAGGCTCTTGGGTGCTATTTTGGCAGAATGTCCTCTTCTAGGTTTTGGAACTGCAGATTAAAGCTCAAAAATGTGAAGCAAGCAACCCCCAAAGTCCAGAAAGCACATGCTTATGAGAAAAAACAGACCAAAACCAATTTTTAAAGCATTATTGAGCCACTCCCATTATTTTGGAAGGGGCAGATCATTATTTTGGAATGCCTCAAGAGAAAAACAGTGAACTCCTGTTTAGGGAAGAAATGATCTCTTGACCTCTCCACCCTGTACTAGCACAGCCTGGACTATTCCCTGTGCTTCCAATGGAGTCAAGATTTCATCTACCTCCCCCAATGTTTCCCTGTGGCATCTTCTCTGTGCATTAACTAAAGGGCACAAGTTCACATTTAGGAAAAATAAATCTTTGATGTAGCTTTTAGTGACATAGGAACTGACTAGCGGCATGCTTGAAAAGAAATAGAACATCAATTGAAAGATTCAGATAACTCTTCAATGCTCTATGTATACCATAAACAGGATATGTATGTAAAATGTTGTTTCAATACTTTTGAATTAGATTACTATAAGATGTTTTTTTTCCTCTTCCTTTCCCTTCTTTTCCCTTTTTCTTTCTCTTTTCCTTTATTTACTCTCCTTTTTAATTCCTTTCTTTTATTTCACCTCAGTATGGTTTTACTTCCGTTGCTTGAACCATAAGACTGTAAAAGCAGTAGAAACAATAACATATTTTGAATTTTCATCAAACAATGGCTTGTAAATTAAAAAAAAAAAAAAAAAAAGCACTCTTTTCCTGTTCAGAAACAAAATATAGATGACCTGAACTAAGTCAATAGGAGAAGACACACACCTGACTCAGATGTGGCCTAGACAGCATGGATTTCAGATACCAAAAGATCTTCTCCTCTCCCATCAGCACAGCTGCTATTCCTGCATTTCTGGCAGTATCAGATTCAAGATGAGCAATGGTTGCTCACACCAGCTACAGAAAGCCATGCCATATAATGCCACAGATGCTAAGTGTCTAAGGACAAATTCACTGAGGACTACTTGGAGCAAAAATGACACTTCTGGCTCAAAGACTTCCTAATTCTCAGACCATTGGAAACTAGCAAAGTACTGAGGATACATTTACCTTGTTCTTATTTTCCTAGGCATCTGCTGTGGACCACAAGAAAAGGCTGAATATTGATGGGCCACTGTTATGGCCATTTTAATGTGCAAGTAGCCAGGCAAAAAGAAAGCTGACTGTCCTCAGAACATGAAGTCTATCCTGGCAGCAGGATAATCAAGGTCTGTGTTTCCCAAATAGCTTGACATGCAATCCATCCAGAACCCAATCTCCTTGCAATACTAAATGGAGAATTGCAGGATGCTTAGTTTTGATTACAAATGGGAAGAAAGCAAATATCTAACTCCTCCATGAATCAGAAACATCATTGCCATCCAGCTGCATTAACTATTAATGATTTCGGTGTGCAGGGAACTTTGTTTCTCATTCTTCTGGTGCTCAGCTTTTCAAATTGTGCTAAGTGTAGCACAAGAGCTACAGAAAGAGCCTCAGAGCAGCAGGCCAACACTGCCCAAGTATTTTCTTGTTTTCTCCTCTTCTTGACAACAGCATTGCCAGAACAAACCCAGTTTGGTATACCTGCCCTAGGATCTGTTATTCCACAGAGCTCCTCATTATGAAACAGAGCTAACCATGAAAGACTGTATCAAATAAATTGACTTCATCTGATGGGGCAAATACGGCTGATCTGGGCTTCAAACAACATCTCCAGCATGCTTGATATTTTGGAAGATATCAGGATTGTCTCCTGGATCATAACACGGGACAGGAAATGCCCCACATTGAGTTTCTTTTCCAAAGACCATCCACAAGCAGCAGGTGCAGCAATGCACAAGGAACCCCCTAAGAAATTAAGGGGAGCTAGAGATCTAGCTGGGACTTATTTCAATGTGATTTGAAGTATTATCATTCAGCTCTTTGTGAAATATTTTTCAGCCTCTCTTCAGTAAGGCAGATGTCTGCACTTTAAAAAAAATGTTGGTATAAAATAAAATTTTGTTTGAGAAATTCAGATTTGGAGAAAATTTACTGAAAACAAAATTTTCCAATAGACTGAGGTCTCCTGTCTAAGGCCCATGCTGCAGAAGTCCACGTTCATGTTCTTTACAAGAATGCTACATAGATGTTCTGTATATAACACTAGCTCTGGTGTTCTATTATCCCTTCTCCTTTATACTTTGAGGATCTTCCTCCTCTTTAAAGCCCTTTCCTCTAATCCTGCTAGAAGAAGGTTATTTCCCCTCTGGATGAACTGTCTCCAGTCAATACCAGCTCCTCTTCCAGAGACATCTCACATCTCCTGAAACTGACATTTCTTCTGCCAAAAATTTGTTTTCAAAATCTTGTTTGGTCCTTCTTTGCATTTAGCATTTACAGGACTTGTAAGAAAGTCAGCTGCAGCCTTGTCATACAGTCTTACTCTTCCTGTGAGGCTGCTAGTTTTGTCACCAGGGGCAGATAAAGAAAGCAACATTCCTTAGGTGGGATTCAGACTGTCTGTCCTAAATTCAAACTGTCCATCCGGATAGCCTTTTTTTTTTTTTTTTTTTTTTTTTTTTTAGTCAGTCTTACCTAATTTGGAGTCACCTTTCAGAAGCAGTTGCTTATTTTGCCAGCTTCCAGATGGTGTCTCTCAGATTTTGGTATCTTTACTTGCCTGCTGTCCTTCATCCTCATCTTCAATGTTCCTTTAGGGAGCAGCTAGAAACACCCAGCAGCAACAGTCATTAGGTTCTAGCTTCCTTCCCCAAAATGGTGTAGCTCTCTGTGTTGTGCTCCTACCTTAAACCTCCTCATACAGTCATACAGGAACTTTTCAAGTCCAGTACTTCCATTTTACTCTTTGAATGAAAGCATGAAAATTTGCACCTGAGTCCTTGCAGGCAAGGAAAAGCTGTCCTTCATCACACCAGAGACACCACAGTGTTCATAATGAGAACCTTCCCTTCTGATCCATCAGTCGTGGCCCTGCAGGCTGAGAGAACAGTGTACAGCAACCTGGGCACCAGTGTAAGCAAAGCTGTCAAAAGGGGACTGACAGCTCCATGACCTCTTTGCAAACTGCACCGCAGACAGTGACACCTGAATTTTATCTCTCTCACTGATTGCTTAAAAATGCATTTTTCAGTGGGTTTTCAGGCTCATAGACACAAAAAAGTGTCACTTATACATGGTGTCCAGCTTTCATGCTTGCTCGCTGGATGTGGATTCAATAGCCTGGCTTGTGGCTGTGTCCTCAGAAGTAGATTGATTTCTGTAAAAAGCCATCTGCACAAAGCCTTAAACCCATTAAAATCACCATTGACCAAATAGCAGTTACAAATTTAAATACCTCTGTGAAACTAGACTTTAATTACTGCACTCCTTTCATGAGTCACAAAGAAATAGCTGGCAGGAGTCCAATTTATATGCACACTTCTCCAATATATACCTGCCTTACAACAATGGGTTTATCACTATGGACCTTCATAACTTTGATACCTTATTCCTGTCTTTGATGCCTTGATATCTGCCACTGTAGTTTCCCAAGGTATCCTGCCTTCTGCTGCTGCTGTCTGCCTTCTTTGGATTTTGGCTGCAACACAGTCCTTTTTCTTTATCCATATGGTTTTTCTATTATCTTGTCATTAAAATCCAGCTGAACTTTTCTGTTGTGCATATAGCAACATGATGAACTTTAGCTAATCCCCAGTAGATATTCAGGTCTGTTTGTCCTCATTCTGTTTAAAAAAAAAAAAAAAAGGAAAAAAAAAAAGAAAAAAGAAAAATAAAAAAGACTACTTGCTATTCTGGCACCATCTAAATATGCCAAATACTGAAGGATGTGGACAACATTTATTCACAGATTATTCAGCTCACATGCTGAATTTTCCAGTACCTACCTGCACATCTGCTAAATTCCTCCGTATATGTAATTTGGTTTATTACCATTATATCTTTTTTGATTTTCACAGCCCAGAACAAGATGTAAAGGCCAGAACCAGTAAAGACTCTTGCATCCACTAAGCAAGAGCTGCTATTTCTAACTTCTTGGTACCTTGTTCCCAGGGAGTGAGATCCATAAGAAGTCAATCACTGGTATTACTGGGAACCCTGAGCCAGGAACTCAAAAATGTCCATTGAGTGGGCAAACCTAAAGATAAAATCATCTATAGACCTTTCCGTGGCTGGGCAGCAGCTATGGGAGGAGAGACTGACATAAAGCAAATAGACCTTGTTTCAGGTATTCTAGTCCTCTTTTTTCTGTCATAGTTTATAAGAAATAGCAACTTAAAGTTAATATTAAATTCTTGAGAATTCAGAATAGCAAAAACAAGCACAGCACTGAAATGGTGCCTCCTCCTAGTTTTTTTTTCTTCCCAAAACTTCTATTCGGTTTAGTCGTTTGAGTTCCTCCTTGTTCCTTTTCTAGCCTCATGAATGCAGAGGCTTGTATTCCTTCAGGAGCAACAGGAAATAAATGCCAATATTTTCAGCCTTTTCGGTCTTTCAAGTCATAGAACATGTAATTCTACACTCCTGCAATATTATATTTGGCAAGGTCTAAAGCACCATCACAGCCCATAAACTAGAAAAGAAAAAGAATTCGTGATTAAGCATTTCTGAAAGCAGAAGCCAACAACACATTTTGGAGGTGCTTAAATTTCACAGCTCTGCCTTTTGAATATTCAGCATAAATTGAGGTCCATTTTACAAAAATCTCTGCTCCATTCACTTCTAATCATTTGGCAAGCTAGAATTAAAAGAAAAGTTTGCTTCTTTTCAACAGCATATTGCACTATTATCTCATCTTGGTTTAACCCTCCTGCAACCCAGAATGTTTCTATTTCTACCACATTCTGTTCATGATTTTTTTTTTTTTACTTCAAAATGGGCAACAATCTTTTCCAACAGCATTAAATAAAGGAACAAAACTTTTTTGATGAGTAAACCTTTTCAGCTATTTAGGACATGCCATGGAGGATCCCAACTGGTAAAGAGTGTGTTATGCAAATTTTGATAACCAAAGCATACTTTGTTGACCTGGAGTAGAAGTGATGAGTAGGTTCCTTCCCAGAGTGAGACCTTTCCATAAGAAACGTTCATTACAGAGAGGGTGGTGATCCCCATTGACAAAGGTTTCTGTTCTGTGGCTATGTATAGACACAGACTGTGCAGACAGAATGAGACTACATGGTCTGCAAACTGTTAGGGCCCGAGCTCCGCTCCACAACATGGAAAGCCAGATTAAAGTGAAACTACAATCAAGCCAATAAAACCTCCTGGGAGCTTTACCATTTCTGTCGCATTCAGGACCCAAGTTTGCTTCTGTCTGCCTACCCTGGTTCATGAGCAGAAGTGTCCAAGTCTTGGATGTCTCACTCCTTCTAGGGAAAAAAAAATTGTTTCCTTCCTGTGAAGGCTGGCACAGGAGAAGGTTTTTATAAGCATTAAAAAAGGGAAAAAAAAAAAAAAAAAAAGACATAATTCTTTATGGGCTAAAAGAATTAGCTGCAGAGTTCATGCAAGACTGTGAGCATAAGGCAAATCTTCATTTCTGACAAACTAATAAGGAAACAGAAATGGTTTATTTGTGGACCCAGACTGCACAGTGAGAACACATCTCACAATTCCCAGTGCAAATCTTGCAGGCTTGCACTGCCCTGGGAAATGAGTTGGAAGTTTTTAGCTCAGCATGGTGACTGTAGGAGAAGGAGGAAAAAGGTCACTGTGCTCCAGCTATGTCTTCCTATTAGCAGCGCAAATGCAAGGGACAGGGTACCAGCAGGTAATGCCACATTTGGCCTGAGCTGCGACATCCAGCATGAGCTGCAGCAGTGTTCCCAGGGAAAGAGCCTTGCTGGCTCAGAGACTGCTGCAGTGACCCCCTCCAGCCCTGCCAGGTTGGTCATGGCCTCCAGAAGGACAGTTTCCAATGAATCCATCCAGGTTTCAAACAACAAAGGCTGGTGAGCTTGATGTGAGGGGGGATATGAGGAGGAATGTCTGCCTGCCAGTAAGGGTAGGCAGCTGCCCGGGGGAGAACTGCAATTTCTGCAGGAGCTGCTGGGTAGTAACTAAACATTGGAATCCCCAGTGTAATTGTACCACATCCAGCAGAGTAAAATCCAGGTCATTCCCTCTTGCCTAGTACATTTAAGCTGTAAATCCTGTGGAGGAGACTGCTACCAGGTGACTCTACCCAGTATATTGATTTTCACCTGCCACCACACTCATGATCACAGACCACAGGCAGCTGAGGGTGAGGTTGCCTGCAGCCCCACAGAGCTCTTAGAAACAGTGCTGTGCTTCTCCCAGGCTCTGAAGCAAACAGCCATCCCTGGAGGAGGACATGACCACTGTGTTGTGGGCAAGCTTTGCCACTTTTTGGCATTTATTTGTGACAAACTTCCCATCACAAGCAGGATCAGGGCATTTATGCCTGGACACCAGCAATTTAGTTATGTAGCATTTAGTCCAGCCCATTCTGGAGAGCATTGGCTGCATTACATTGGCCAGTGCAATGACTGGACATAAACAGAATAGACAAAGTACCTAATCTAACTCCTGCTCTCTCAGATATCTTTCATGAAACTCCTGCCAGAACACATTTTAGGAGTGATTAGGGGTTTTGGTCCTCTCTCCTCCTTTTTGTACAGTGAAAGGACATCATCAGAACAGAAGAATCTACCCTGTCCTTTTAAGGACCCACTCCCCCTTACCAGCATGACAGCTTTTCCAGCACCAGCATGTTATCTCTGTTTCTCTCACAGTTCCTTTTTCTTGATCCTTGGCTGCAACACAGCTGCAACCTCTATCCCACATCAAGTTATGCCAGAGCCCTGTACAATGCTTTAATACTTCCTTTGCTCTTCAGCCAAACTGGGATGCCAACACTGTGTTTAAATTGTTTTTCAGTTATTTCTACAAAACCTTCATTTAGTTTTCATGCAAGAAGGTCATCAGAGACAGAGCTTACTCTCAGATATTTTGATTACATACATAATACTTCTGCTGTCCCTGACTGTACAAAATCATGGCTTGGATGGTAATGTATCCTGAGAGCACAAAGCTCCCAGTGTACCAAAGGATGATTTTGTGGCTTAGATATTGATCTGAACAAAAGGGTTACAGCCACACATAGCTGAGCTGGGAAATCCTGGGAGTGCCTGAAGCCACAGGGCATTCCCAAGACAGCAGCTAATGTTCAGTTGTCTCTCCTGGCAACAAAACAGCCACTATACATCACACTACTTACACATCCCTTGAAGGAGGCATTGTTACAGTCCCTGTAGATCCAGACTGTTGTGAGCATGGTCACAGGGTGGACCTCTGAATAATGACAGTGCAGAGATGGGCACAGAACATCAGAGCTACAGGGAGCAGCAATGTTGTAATCCTGGGTTCACTGTGGGAGTCCTGGGTGCCTGGAGTGGGCAGGAGGGCAGGCTGAGGGATGGTGGCCCCTGGGCCAGCTTATAAGAGACAAAGATCACACTGCCACCTCTGCTGCCAGCATGTGACGAAAACCTGGGTAAGGCTCACAGCAACAACGGTGAACCCCAGCTGTGGCTGGGACGAAACAACCTCAAACATGGGAGAAGTTGGTCAGTGCTCTGGGTACAAGCCAAGGTACAATAGCGCAGCAGTGGCCAAGAGCAAACCATCTTCCACCTTGAGTAATATGTGATTGTCTTCTTCCACAGAGGCTCATTTTATCCATTCTAAAGTACTCAACTTCTTTAAAATGTTTGGATTTGTTTGGTTTGTGGGATTTATTTTTTGAAGAGCTATTGATAGTATACCTGGAGGATGTAGTAAACTGGCCTTCATTCTGCAAGTTTGTTGGAAAGGTGCAGCTGGGCAGCAGGAAAAAATTCCCCATGTAGACTTCAATACATTCTTGAAAATAAAGACAAAGACCCTCAGCATTCAAAAAGAAGGAAAAAAAAATAAATTCAGTCATGATTCTTTTAGCACAATTCATATAACAGCAGAGATATTAGTAAGAAAACCAGTATCAGCAGAAAAGTGTTCACAACCTAGTGCTGATGATTTAAGAGTAGTCAGGGATTTAGAAGACATTTTAATGTGCCAGCAGAAGGGGTCTTAAAACCACCAAAAAAAATAAGTTTGTGATTTAAAGGGGAAGTTATCAATGTTAAAACATCCATTTATCTCTCACTCACCTTCTGTCTATTTTGCTGGCTCTGTCTCTCATCTGGGAAGTCCAGGAGCATGAGTAAGGGTGGGGGGTTTGTCTTTTTTTTACTCTTTTAATAGAAAAGTGCATCTAAGAGCAAGCACATTCACAGTAAGGCTGAATTTTATTTCCCACTGGACACGTAGAATGGTTTGGGTTGGAAAGGAGCTTAAAGACCATCTAGTTCCACCTCCCCTGCCACGGGCAGGAATACCTTCCATTAGATCACGTTGGTCAAAGCCCCATTCAACCTGTCCTTTAAGACTTCCAGGGATGGGGCATGCACAACTTCTCTGGGCAACCTGTGCTCGTGCCTCAACACCCTCACAGTTAGGAATTTCTTTCTAACATCTGATTTAAACGTCTCCTCTTTCAGTTTTTAATTCTTCCCTCTAGAGTCCGCTCACTCTCCGCCCATGTAAAACATCCCTCCCTCTCCTTTTTAAGCCTTCTCTACATACTGAAAGGCTGCAATAAGGTCTCCCCCAACACTTCTTTTCTCCGGGGTGAACAACCGCTGCTGTCACACCTCTCCTGACGGCGGTCACCCTGGCAGGGGCAGGTCCGGTGTCCTTCACTGCGCTCCTGCTCTCCCCGAGCAAAGCGAGCCGGGCTGCGCCGGGCCCGCGCGGCGGGAGCGCGCCGGCGCCTCCCCCAGCGGCCCCAGCCGCTGCCTGCAGGTGGCGCTGTTTAATTGGGGAAGGCTCCCCCGCGCCGCGGGGCGCGCCCGGCCGGCAGCGGCGCCGCTCCTGGAGCCGTGGAACATCTGAGCTCGGACAATGCCGCTTCCTCTGAAGGAGAACCAAATCCTCCCGTAAGAACAAGGAAAAGCCATCAGCTGCCGACGTGGAGCGAGCACAGCTGCCTCCGATTCAGCGGGAGAGGGCTGCCCCTTTGCAGGCAGGCTGTGTTGTAGAAGACAGGGTTTTGAGCGCCCCACCGCATGCTGGAAGATACCCTAAATCCTGAGTCACTCCATTCTTGATAGGCAATACCAAAGACCACGCACACATATGGCCGCAGCAGCAAAAGAGAAACATGGTCTAGTGGAAGTTTTCCATGTTCGTGGCATGGGGTCTGGAGCTAGGTGATCTTTAAAGTCCATTCTGACCCAAACTATCCTGTGATCCTGTGATCAGTTAGTTTAAGGTAAAACTTCCAGATCTGTTAAAGCTCAGCACACCTACAAAATGCCAATTCCTTCTGCAAATTTTCAGAGTCTACCTGACTCCTAGTCACCCAAAAGTAACTTTAACACCTGTCCTTCGATTCCTTCTGCAGGACAGCTCCAGCAGCCAAAACACGATCTCATAAGGAACTGTAACTTGGTCCCTTGTTCTGTCCTTGGGACACAACCAGGCCATGCAGCCGTACAAAACACGTATCATTTACCAGAGCTGCAAAGGGAATGATGAACAAAAGATTCTCACAAATATCAGAGCATAAATTTCCAGCCTCTTTCACTCGGGCTCTGCACCTTTAAACCACAATACTTCTTCTGCAGTGCTTTTCCGTGGCCTTTTAGAGAGAAGGGAAGAGAACAGAGAGAATAGCCAGGGAGAAGAAAATAAATTAAAAAAAAAAAATTCCCAGCAATCTTTTCTATCAAAAACCTGCCTAGCTGGGGAAGGAGTGGAGGAAGTGGAGAGTGGGGGAAAGAAGTGAAAAGAGAAAAAGGATAGAAAAGTCCAAAAGTTCTTTGTGGTGAGATAAGAAAACTTGGAGGTAAGTTTGGATAAAGGCATATCAAGTTTTTAAGTGCTTTCTGACCTTTGTAATCTTATTTGCAGACATGGTTTCATTCTTTCTTTTTGGGGCCTGTAGAAGAAATCATTTTCTAAGCAGAAAGACATATTTGGTATCTCTGACTAGACTTCTCAAAGCCAGCTGAGCTCATGAGCTCTCAGTCTAGCATCACAATCTCTCCGCTTTCTGGGTCTCTTTGATATTTCCTACCACATCCCTGGTGCGTCCTCGGTTCCTACTGCAGCTCAGCAGAACATTCCTTCTCACTGAATAAAGTGTAATGTCTTCCCATCCTGGAGGAATGGGGCTTTTTACAATCAGCAAAAGGAGTTTAAGGATCTGTGAACTCCTGCACTGGAGCTGCTGTATGACTGTCACTTAACCATCCTCTTTTCAACTCTTTGCTGCCTTGCCCTTCTTCTCTGTATGTATCCCAAGTGGTAATGATTCAATTTCTGAAAAACAACTGAGTAGTACAACAATAGCACTAATGCTATAGCAAAAATGTATTTATTTTAAACCTCACCAAAATCTCAATTAAGTCATGACTATCCTTTGAAGCAGGCAACAATCCAGATTAGACATGGACAGAGATATTGCACTGATATCTTATAGTATGATAATAAGTTTGTGGTCAATCAAATTAGAGCATTTTAAGAAATTGCCACCTGTAAGGTGATCAAAGCTTATAGCAATCCAAATGTGAAGTAAAAAGTTTGAATTTAAGCTGCCAACTTTGTCCCCAGACATATCCCTTTTGATCTCAGTGCCACAGATCATTCTGTCTTTAGCAGAGATGCAGAAAGCTGGTGCTGAGTTAAATTGTCATTGAGGTGACTTTTAGGAACCTCAGTATATTCTAGCTCCTTGTTTGAAAACTATCAGGAGATGATGTGAAATATGCATTGACTAACCAGTTATGTGACAGTGTGAAGCTGACACACAGGCACCTTCCACGTGATGATGAATGATGAAAATGTATCTTAGATCTTCAAATTACCAGAGAAAAGAGCAGTTCTACTTCAGTTTAGGAATTCAATCTTTCTGCAGATGAGAGGGAGCCAAATATGCCTGCATTATCACTAAAAATGCCTTTTTACAAATGTAGGAGAACTTTCAGTTCACATATTTTTCTCTCAGAGATAGAGCAATTCTCCAGAGGGCTGAAATCCAGAGCTGACTGGATTCTACCTGTCACCCTTACTTGCTGCCCTCTGGGAAAGGTTTTGTTTTTTCTCCTTCTCACTGCTACATTGAACAAAAAGACTTTTTTGAGGCCTCTGGGGAGGAAGTGTACAGTGCCCCAGTTTAAAACAATGAGGCTATGTGAAATCAGTGTAGAGCAAGGAATGAGTTACCAGTAAGGTACCTGATACATCTGAACATTAATGGCAAAGGGCAGAACATTCCCCTACTGAAATTTTAGAATTCCAAGTTCCCAGACATTCTTGTTTAACAACACTATTCATTATCTTTTCATTAGTACTACTTTCTGGAAGAAAAGTAAATATAATATATAGTAAAATATATATAGGAAAGTAAAATAATATATAGTAAAAATGGTGAAGTGATATATCATGGTGAGAGCAGAATGTTTATATGTAAAAGCTCACCCACATACATAAAGGGGTGCGTGAGCTTTCAGGAGTGCTTGAATAAATAACACACACCATCAAATTTAAAAATATGCTTTTAGTAATACAAGTTTTATCGCTGCTATCTTTGTATTGATAAAAAAATATTTAAAAAGGAAAAGGAAAAAGATAATTCCAGGGATCCTTGGAGAATGGCAGCATTTGGGAATGCAGTAAATAATAATATCACTACAAGCTCCAAGTACAATGCAGTGGCAAGTGTAGATCTGAAGGCATGAACAATAGATAAGAATAAGAAAGAAGAAGGTAGTGTTCCCCTCTCCAAATGCAGCATTGTGAGGCCACCCCAGACTACTGCCTGCACCTCTGCAGTAAATTACCAGCACCCTGTGCTACCTGCTAGCACTGAGGAAGGCTGGCGTGAAATGGTCCATATCTGTGCCTGCAAACTATCCTAATTTCTAAATCACTGTGACTGCAGGGAATGACTCCTGGCTTGTGCTAAGCCCAGTCTGTGCTCAGACATTCTCTGGGATGAGTGGATCTGTCTCATTGATCCAGAGAAAAACCACTCAAAGGCCTATGCTAACAATTTAACGCCAGGGGCAGTCAAGTTCAAGCACTCACAGTTCTCAGTCTAATTTACTATTCTAGATGTAGCCAGCATGTCTAGGCTTGATAGATGCATTGAGAGGACGATGGTGAAAAATGGGAAAAGGCTCAGAAGAGGGCCACAAAAACGATTTGTTGTCTATAAAACTTAGTGAGATGCTCAAAGGGCTGTATTTATTAATGTTATTTAAGGGATCAAAAGGTGTGAAAGTGATCTACAAGAACCCATATAGAAAAAAGATTTCCTGCAGCTTACTACCCCATACTCTAGAAGTTAAAAACATGCTGATATCCAGGATCTAGATAAATTCAAGCTGTAAATAAGGACATTTTTAAGCATTAGGAGAAATTACTATGGAGCAAATTAAAAAGTGCTCTGGTGGATTCTTCATCATGTGTGATCTTTAATGTTTTTTTCAATATCTTGTGAATACAACAGATGCTTGGGGGTTCATAAGAAAAGAGTATGTGGGTTTCTTTGAATTCCTCACACAAAAAGCCAGTCTACTTTACTGGTGCCTTCCAATCTTGAATCTATGATTTGATGAAAAAGACATTGTCAGTGTCCCTAAAGTGTCAGTGAGAAGACTTCCTGCTAGATCTATTAAAAAAAAAAAAAAAAAAATTCTTATATATGCAGTTGTTGTTAGCAATGTAGCAATTAAGGCAAAAATTGCTGTCCCTTATTGGAGCCAGACAGACACCAGCTAAAGTAAAGCTGGTGTAGAATAGAACTGCTGTGAAAAACAGAAGTCATTCTTGACATAGCTGAAACTAAATGGTCTTAGAGATCTGAATGTTTGTTTCTGCCCTTTCTGGTTGTCTGAAGAGAGTAAGACCCACTCTAATTGGCACCTATATTTTACAGAGAGCACCAGAATTTCAGTGCTAAGGAATTTAGCAGAATTTTTACCAAAGAGATGTTTTCATATTCCAAACAAACCCAAACATAGCATGAGTTAATTGTCATGGTCTACCTTACTCTCAGTTATAAAAATACAAATATGATCCATATTATTGCTATGTAAACACAACAGTAGCAGAATTTAGAATACGATTCCTACATGGATAAGAAACTGATGACACAGACATATGGGTTTCCTTAAAATATCAACTTATTCATGAGACAAAGATACAGATGAGAATTCACTTCAGTGAATTGATGGAGCAGAGCTCCTTCCCCAGCCCTTGGGGCTGAGTTCCACTGCACATCAAACACACCTACAATGCCTTGTCCCCCTCTCAGATATGCAATAACAAATCTGGCTACTCAAAATCTATTTTCCTTTACAGTAAAGAAATTTCTTCTGTGTGAGCCTTTGCTGGGAAGGTAGTGAGGTCTGTAAGACACATACCTTTTTATGCTGACAAAGCATTTATCCCACTACCTAAAATTCTTTCAAGCCAGAAATTAGCTGCATATGTAATGATCCTGCCTGCAATACTTGAAACATAAAAACGAGGCAGTGGAGATGAAATCCCTGCAAATCTTGTGGGTTTGGAATAGTTGGGTTATATTAATTTGGTTATTGGGATTCTTCAGCTTGAAGCCATGTCTCTCTAGGAGGAAAGGTATCTGTGATGCTGTTCCTAGTTCTGCACACTTCTTGAGTATCTTCCCTCTGTCCAGCACTCCAT